GAAATCATATGGCATTTGTCTTCCTCTGTATGAGTTATTTCACTTAACGTAGTATCTTTAGGTCTGTCCATGTTGTTGCAAATAGCAAGATTACACTCTTTTTTATGGCCGAGGAATGTTCCATTGTATATATGTACCACATCTTTTTTTAAAAAAAAATCTTTATTGATTTCAGAGAGGAAGGGAGAGAGAGAGATAGAAACATCAATGATGAGAAAGAATCATTGACTGGCTGCTTCCTGCAGGCCTCCCACTGGAGATAGAGCCTGCAACCCAAGCATGTGCTCTTAACTGGAATTGAACCTGGGACCCTTTAGTCCATAGGCCAATGCCCTATCCACTTTGCCAAACAAGCCAGGGCTGTACCATTTGCCTTTATCCACTTGTCTATTGATGGACACTTAGGTTGCTTCCATATCTTCATTATAAACTAGGGGCCTAGTGCACGAATTTGTGCACCTTGAAAGGAACTGTGGGCCCTAACCGGCTTGGCTCAGATAGAGTGTCGGCCTGTGGACTGAAGGGTCCCAGGTTCGATTCCGGTCAAGGGCATGTATCTTGGTTGTGGCCACATCCCCAGTAGAGAGTGTGCAGCAGACAGCTGACCGATGTTTCTCTCTCATCGATGTTTCTAATTCTCTATCCCTCTCCCTTCCTCTCTGTAAAAAAATCAATAAAATATATTTTAAAAAAAGAAAGAAAGAAAGGAACTGTGGGCCACCAGGCTGCAGTGGGCACAGAGGTGGGTCTCGGCCCATTCTCGATGCCCCTGCCCAGGCCCTCCCACCGTGGCTCCTGGGAGGGGGCCAGCAGCCCTGCTCCCGCCGCTGCCGCTCCCATGCACTGATGGTGCTGGCCCCGCTCACACCCGCTGATGGCACAGAGTGATTGGGGCCAGCACTGTCAGCAGGTATGAGAGGTGGCTGCTGGCCCTGGGTCGCCCCTTGGTAACAGGGGGAGGTGGAGAAGCCCTGAGGGGCAATTGGGGCCAGCAGCTGCCGCTCGCACCTGCTGACAGCACTGAGCGACTGGGGCAGGCGCCAGTAGCAGGTGCAAGTGCCCAGGGGGACTGCTGTGCACGGGAGCAAAAAATTTTCAGTAACCACCAGAGGCTCACGCCGATGACAGCAACTGGAACCCTGCCTTGGTCTGGCACCCCCGCTCACCTGCTCCACCATCCTGCTGCAGCCGATGCCCGCCACATTCTGCATTCTGCCACCTGCTGCTGACGCCCACCATGTTCTGTGCGCATCCCCTGGTGGTCAGCACACATCAACAACTGTTTATTTGGTTATTCCACCATTTGGTCTATTTGCATATGAGGGTTTTATATGTATAGACTAGAGGCCCAATGCATAAAATTCGTGTAAGGGGCTCGGCCCTTGCAGCCACAGCAGCTTGCCTCAGCCCTTGCAGCCCAAGCTTCTTCTGGAAGGTCGTCCGGAAGCTTGTTCGGCTGTCCAGTCCAATTAGCATATTATGCTTTTATTATTATTAATAATGCTGCAATGAACATATGGATGCATATGTCTTTTGAATTAGTGTTTTGGGTTTCTTCAGATAAATACCCCAAAGTGGGCCCTTCTTTGTCTCTTATTGTATAGCCTTTGTTTTAAAGTCTATTTTGTCTGATGTATCGCTACCTCAGCATTTTTTCCCATTTCCATTTGCACAAAATATCTTTTTCCATCCCTTTACTTTCAGTCTATGTATGCCTTTTGATCTGAGGTGGCTCTCTTCTAGGCACCATATTATGGGTCTTATTTTCTTTTCTTTTTCCCTCCCATAGCTCCCCTCCACCCGGTTCCCACCCCACCCTCTGCTCTAATCCCCCACCCCCCGCAATTGTCCTCATCCATAGGTGTCCAGTCTCTTCCCGCACCCCCACACCCCTTTCCCCCCCCCAGAATAGTCAGTCCACTCCCTTTCTATGCCCCTGATTCTATTATATTCACCAGTTTATTCTGTTCATCAGATTATTTATTCACTTGATTTTTAGATTTACTTGTTGATAGATGTATATTTGTTGTTCATAATTTGTATCTTTACCTTTTTCTTCTTCTTCCTCTTCTTAAAGATACCTTTCAGCATTTCATATAATCCTGGTTTGGTGGTGAATTCCTGTAGCTTTTCCTTATCTGTGAAGCTCTTTATCTGACCTTCCGTTCTGAATGATAGCTTTGCTGGATAAAGTAATCTTGGTTGTAGGTTCTTGGTATTCATCACTTTGAATATTTCTTGCCACTCCCTTCTGGCCTGCATAGTTTCTGTTGAGAAATCAGCTGACAGTCATATGGGTACTCCCTTGTAGGTAACTGACTGTTTTTCTCTTGCTGCTTTTAAGATTCTCTCTTTGTCTTTTGCTCTTGGCATTTTAATTATGATGTGTCTTGGTGTGGTCCTCTTTGGATTCCTTTTGTTTGGGGTTCTCTGCACTTCCTGGACTTGTAAGTCTCATTCTTTCAACTTAGGGGAAGTTTTCTGTCATTATTTCTTCAAATAGGTTTTCAATATCTTGCTCTCTCTCTTCTTCTGGCACCCCTATAATTCGGATGTTGGTATGCTTGAAGTTGTCCCAGAGGCTCCTTACACTATCTTCATATTTTTGGATTCTTTTTTCATTTTGCTTTTCCGGTTGGGTGTTTTTTGCTTCTTTGTATTTCAAATCTTTGACTTGATTCTTGCGATCCTCTAGTCTGCTGTTGGGAGTCTGTATAATATTCTTTATTTCAGTCAGTGTATGCTTAATTTCTAGTTGGTCCTTTTTCATAACCTCGATGGTCTCACTAGATTTCTTGAGGGTCTCACTAAATTTATCAGCGGTTTCTAGAAAATTCTTGAAAAACCTTATAAGTGGTTTTAAACTCTATATCCAGTAGTTTGCGTTCCTCCATTTCTGTCATTTGCAACCTGTTTCTTTGTCTCCGCATTTTTTATGCTTTCCTGTGTTGATAGAGTGGCTTTGTGTGCTAGGTGTCCTATAGGGCCCAGTGGCTCAGCCTCCCCAATTACCGGAGGTGGACACTCTTGGTGCACCCCTTTGTGGGTTTTGTGCACAGTCTTGTTGTAGGTAAGCCTTGATTGTTGTAGGTATCACTGGGAGGAATTGACCTCCAGGCCAACTGGCTGTGAGAATTAGCTGTGTCTGCAGTGGGAGAACTTCTGTCTGGGTCTTATTTTCTTATCCATTCAGCCATCTTATGTGTTTTAATTGGAGAATTTAATCAATTTACATTTAAAGTAGTTATTGATAGGTATGTAGTTATTGCCATTTTAGTATTAATATTTTGGTTTCTTCATCTTCTTCCTCTTCTTTTCCTTCTCCTTCTCAAGTCCCTCTTACATTTTTTTGTAATGCTGATTGCTTGTGATGAACTCCTTTAGCTATTTTCTTATCCGCAGGCCAATCCTCTATCCACTGAGCAAAACCAGCTAGGGCAAGATCATTAATTCTTTTAACTAATTTTTAATAAGTAGCTATTCTGTGCAAAGCATGTAATAGCTTCATCTCTGTGAAAATCCACATGGCCAAATTTCTGCATGGTTAAGCTTTTCAATAAGTGTGTTGCATCAATTTATAATCTGTATGGATTTAATTTTACAAAACAACTAGGTGGTTCTAAGCCTTTCCAGAAGTCTTCTTGGAATGCAACAGTATCAATGAAGTTTTTGGAGTCCCTCTTACATTTGCCTAACTCTAGAATAAACCTGAATTTATTGATCCATCTTATAAAATGAAGCTTGAAAAGAATTTTCTCCAGCTTCCTTTTCTCATCTAAGTGTCCCCAAATTACCTCTACCTGTAGGCACTCTGTGGCTCACTGAAAGGTGAAGTAAAGCAGAATCTCCATCCCCATCTCAGACCTGCTGCATCTGGCTGCATTTTAATGTGATTTGCATACACAGTAGAGTTTGAGAAGCACTGATTTAGACTTTGATACTTGGTTCACACTTGTCCCTGGTCCTTCTTTCTGAACAACAGAGATAAGGAGACCAGACTAGCGGTAACAGCTGTTTGAGAAACAGGAGCTGTACCCAAGGATCCACTTATATACTTTTCCCCATACCCAAGCCCTGCCTGCACAGGAAGTCGGCCACTAAAGATAGGCTGCCTGTAGGAGACATACGGACATGAGGGACCTCCAAAAGTTGTTCAGCAGGGTGAAAATGGGTGGAACAGGAAAGGGAGGAAAGTAAGTTCCTGGATTTCAAAAACCACAGTGTGTCTAGGTGCTACTTTCCCCCTTTTAGCACATAGTTTTGTCATGAGACATCCGTTTGCTGCCTCTTTTCCTTTTGCATTTTGCCCCATATTAAAAAGTCACTATCTAGAACTTTTCTCCATGAATTAGAAACTTTAAGTTGTCTGGGACCGAATGTGCCTGTTTTTGAACAGTTTCTGGCAGTTCCTTGCCTTTATGGTGTAGTCATGGTGAATCCTGAGTCATCTGAAGATGGTGGCAGTGCCAAATTGCTGGGGAAGGAGCTGCTGACAAGCCAGGACAGCGAGGAACTGGAGATCAGTAACCTTGGGCACGGGGGCCATTAGCCTTCTTTTGCACAGGAGAGCTATCCCAGTCCTAGTTAGATACAAATTGCTGCAAGCTTTATAGTTCTAATGAATACTTGCTCTGGCAAGTGTGTTTAGACACAGCCCAAAGTATAAAGCATCTCCCCAGTTGTTTCTCAGAGTTCCAAGTAGCAACACCTAATTCTTGCATGTGCCAGGATTCTTCTTTTATAAGCTGAGAAACCACATTTTCCTGGTGAGGCATATATATATATATATACCTCGATTTTTGTTTTAAGGTAATAAAGTTCTCTGGTGCACATTCATATACATGAAACAACTACCCAGTAAATACACCCCTGTTTTGTGTGTTTGTCATTTCTCTAAAATTCTGACTCATAGTCTGAGGACAATGATTAATTTTTTTCCATTTCACATAGCTGCTATGAATTTCTTCTCACAAGGATGGGCCTGTTTACTTACCCCTGGCAGCGTTGTTAGAGCGCTAGTGTAAACTGCCAGGGGAACCCGGAGGGCTGGGGGAGTGGGCGCCCGGCGCGCTCCGTGGGGAGCAGGGATGCTGGGCCCAGGTTGGGCTGACCTCATTTAGAGTCCGCTTTCTGACCCTCCTGGATTTGCGGTGTTTGCCAGAGCGGCGAGAAGCGCCATTGTGGTGCGGGTGGGAGGGGTGGAGCCACCAAGTCCGGTCTCAATTTAGATCTCTCACTCCGCTTTTAGGCGCGCCCATTTCAGACTGTTCAACTCGAGGCAGGGGGGCAAACATCAGGGAGGAGGTGGAAGCCACACCCCGCAGTGCCCGCGAATTTCCCCAGGAGCCCAGGGCTGTCCAGGCATTCGCTGCGGAGATGCGGGGCCCACAGCTCCTGACCGCCGCCCACCTCGTCTGCGTGTGGACCGTGTGCACCGCCGCGCTGGCCGCAGCCCCCGGGTAGGAGCGCGGGCGCTTGGGGCGCTGGGGGCGCGGGGCGGGCAGCGCTGTCCTGGGCCCGGGCTGCGGGAGAAGCAGCAGTTGTGCAGCAGCGGGTGGGAAGTGCCCCGCGGCAGCAGCCCTCAGCCAGGCACCGGCCTGGTGGTTTTACCATGTGTCCCTTCAGCTTGGTTTTCCATGAGATAGTTATTTTCTTCACCCTTGAAGTTGTTGAAGCGTTTCCCTGGCCATAACTACTTTCTAAAGAGAGTCCTTTTTAGTCCACGTTGCCTCTGCATTTTCTCAGCTGTTTGCTCCCAAATAATGTGCCTGCCTTCTTCTCTCAGAGACAGATGGTGCTAGTTTTTCTCAACCTCTGGCATGGGCAAAGTGTGTCTTGGGTGGCTGATGTGTGGTTCAGGTGCAGACGCTGTAGAAAGGTAACTACGGAGGCACCCAAATCCTGGAAAGTGCCCCACTCCTCAAGGTTTTTGTTGTTGAGCCCTAACCCCTAGCTTAGGCAGAGAAAGTGCTCTTTATGCTTTGCTACACCTGGAAATTTTACCACTGATAGTTGAATGTCTGATGGTATATTTCAATCAGTAGTATTGATTAGATGATCTTTTCTTGGGCAAATGCCCAAACGTAAAGGTTAGAATAAGAAACAGGCAAAATCTGTGTGTATGTACTTGCGTGTGTGTGTGTGTGTGTGTGTGTGTGTGTGTGTGTGTTTAAGCCAAGAAAAAAAAAAGTCACACTGGGATGAGGTCATCTGTAAAATAGAAGTTTAGAGGCTTGCATATTGCCAATAACTTCTGCACGCCCCCAGTGTAAGCCATCTACATGGAGGCTCATCCTGTGCTGTTTGTAGTTTGGAAGTAGTAACACAGGTTCTACTCTAGTGGTATATGAATTACTGCATTAAAATTAATTTTTGGGAATTATTGTTTCAATGGCATTTCAGTGCAGCTGCTAAATGGAGCAGCAGGGCAGTATTAATTGGAACAATTGCATTTGGCACAATATAGGGGGTCTGTCTCACTGTCTATACTCTATAAAATTTGAGTATCACAAAAGAATGGTGAGGGGAGGATAAAAAACTTTGTATTTTTCCTTGTTGGGAATTCTTTAGACCCAAGTTTCTGGTGACAGCTCCAGGAACCGTCAGGCCTGGAGGAAATGTTACTATTGGGGTGCATCTCCTGGAGCACAGCCCCTCACCGGTCACTGTGAAGGCAGAGGTGGTCAAGTTGACAGGAAACCGCACCGCCTTTATTGTGGGAGCACAAGGAGTCTTTGAAAAAGGTAAGAGAAAAAGCATCGAGTTTTACCCTTCTTCTGTGGTAATTGGAATATGTTAATAAAGCCCTGTGAAACCTCAAATTTGGAATGGCTCACGTAATATATTTTTAATTGTTACTTCATAAATTCCAAAATGGTGTTTTTGGGTGTTCTTCCAAGTGGCGATTCAGAGGCCCAGATTCCTTCCATCTTGTGGCTCCATCACCATTAACAAGTAGCTTCCAAGTCTGCAGGGGAAGAGCATGGATTTCCCATGTGGGGAGGTTTTTATGGGCTAGATCTAGAATTGGCTCATATAACTTCTGCTCCTCTTTCAATGGCCACATTTACAAAGGAGATTGGGGAATGTAGGCAAATGTGTGCCCTGAAGAAGAAATGGATATAGTTAACAGTCTGACACTAACCCATATTTAGTGTGTGTAGAGTACTTTACTAAATAGGCCTCTGGGAAGGAAAAGAAGAGCAACACAAGAGCTAAAATCCAGTTTTATAAAATATTTCTTACTTTTTAAAGTAACAAAAAAGATAATGTAAAAGTGGGAGCCATTTATAAAAGAACCTACATCTCTTGTTTCAAGTTTATGTTCTTACCTGGCCCAGGATTAAATTGGGTCAATGAATGTCTTCTTTTTCATTAGTAAGGGAAAAATAATTTTTTTTAGGGAGTAAATACTTAAATATTTTTTTCATCAAAATAACATTTATTGTATATTTTTCTAATTGAAAGAGTAATATATGGTCAGTACTTACAACCTGATAAACACTGGAAATAAAGGAAATAAACCAAAATCACCCATAATCCTACCACCCAAATATAAACACTGTTAACCAGAAGCATGTTTAGATTTAGTCAGTGGCCAGAAATTGAGGCACAAATGCCTATAAATGTTAAGAGTTATATTTAAAAAAATTATGTAGGGCACATAATGAAGGATGGATGGGATTCTACCATAATTCATTGTATAAATATTTATCCTCTACCAGCATAGAGGAATTAACAGCATTAGGAAATGAGATAAAATCAAAGTTGACCTATATTTGTGGTTCTTTCTCCAATGAAAGTTGATTGACTAGGTGTATATGTTTGGGATGGGGGTCAGGAAGAGGTAATGTGTGCAGGGACTAGGCCACTTTGTCTTTCATAGGAGAATATCAGGAAAAAGGGAAGTCTTGTTTCCCTGGAAATGTTGATTAGAGCTTAAGTTCCGAGTTTGAGCCTTAGCACTAGCTGTGTGATCTTGGGCAGGTTACTTAACTGTTCTGAGCTTTAATTTCCTTGTCTGTAACATGGGGATAATGAAATTTAATTCTCAGGGCATGTATCAAGTTAAAATCAGTATCTAGCACCTGTTAGGCACTCAGTAAACACCAGCTGTTAATATTATAAGTAATAATACTGAAAAAGATGCAGGAAGCATCATTTCTTTTTTACATGGAGGCAGACCTCTATTTTCATTATTGAATCATTATTTCTAAAAATGAATGAATCCTTGTTTTATAATAATGGCTAAAGAAAATATTGAAATACTAAGTCACAGTAGACAATATTTAAGGTAATTCCACATTTATTATTATTTATTAACAATTATTATTTTGGCTCTACATGTGTGACAGTTTTTCTGTATTGTAAATTTGGATGATTTTGACAAATACTTGGGCTTTGCTTGGATTCTTGCATACTTTTATTCTGGAATTTCCCCTTCATTGTCTTTTCTGCAATTTCTATGATCAGTCTCCTCGCTGGGGGTGCATGTTATTGTGGCTTAGTTTTTAACTTTATTCTTAGATTTTTCTTTTGGGAGGAGAGTCTGTCACACGCCTCTGGGAAGGCTAAAGTGCTCAAGACTGCGTGGGAAAACGCTATCCTAGTTGCAGATGAGTTTTTGAAAAAGAGAAAATTTGCTCTTTCAGGGGCTGTTTTTGACTCTGTTAATACACAATTTCATTGAAAACACCATCGCTGGGAGTGTGGTCCCTCTTTGACAGGAGAATGTTATTCTATTATCAGAGGCTTCGAGTCATTGTTCTCAGAACAGATGCTTCCTGGAATGTGAGGAGTTAAGGATCAAGACATTTCTCCCTTCTTGTATTCACATCCTTTGCTTTATCTGACTTCTCCAGTTGTAACTACACGTAGATAAAAGAGGACTTCTTAACTAATGGGGTCTGGATCTTCCTAGGATTCATTTTTATTCTTAACTACATAAACACAAATAAATACATTTTAGGTCTGATTATTTCATCACTTTCTTAGGCCTTCCAAGAAAAGGTTGGTTTTAATAAAGATTCATCTTCTAGCAGAGCTGGGTAAGGGTGGGAACTGTTTCTGAGTGGCTGCTTCTAGAGGTCCTAGTCTTAAAATTCCTGGAGCAGGGCAGTGTTTCACCATAACCTGAATGCATTTATTGCTTAATTTGTGTCAGAAAAAGTAATAGCTGAAGGATTCCTATTGTAGAATAAGGGCAAAAAAGCATGGCTTGTCCTCAAGGAAGAGTTCACTTATTTTTTTGACAGACATGGGGAAAATTTTGCTTGCATTTTTATCCTTGGGGCTAGCAGCGTTGATTACTTACAGTTCATTGATTCATTTTTAATGCAGTCTACATTTATTGGGGATCAATTATGGGTGTTTTTTTTGAGCAACCAAACCTGTTGGAAAAAGTGTTTTTCTAAAGATGTATTAATGCCTCTTTAGTGGTGATATTCAGACATTCAGGTGTACTTGTCATTATCACCACCACCAACCTCATCTCACCTTCATTATCAATCTCATCATTATCATCTCTGTAATGAATAGAACTAGGCTCATGATTTACTCTTCCATTGTATAAAAGAATAGGACATCTCCTGTTGAGTGCCTTCTGGTCTGGAGGCACCATTTATTTGTGGTGCCAAGACTTCTTCCATCTTCTCATTGATGTATTGAGGTGTATTCTCTGAGTGTGTCCGTATCCTTTAATAACTTGCTTTTTCTTTTTGCCCTAAAACCTTGGAGAGTTAATGGAGTGTTTACCTTCTATTTTTTAAGAATTAAAAATTCTTCTTTGTCCTTTATTGTTTCTATCTTTTCCACATTGACTATGGGGTATGTTATTTTCCATCTTGATTCAGTAAAGGCAGGAAATCAATAGTTCTTAAATTGAGATATTAACTGAAAACTTAAAAAAAATTCATCGAATTCAGTTTGGATGGCTTTCTGGTGGAAACAAAGCTCCTGATCATACATTTCATAACTCATAGATCAATATCAGCCCCATGGCTTTTATGAGAGTAGATTAATGAGTATAGTGTGTGGGCAGATCTCCCAGGACAGGTTTTCACAGGCAGCTTTGCTAGGAGAACTCAGTCTAAACTTGTAGTTACGTGAGAATGATTGTTAAAAGAGTGTGGGCTCTTCATTCACATGTCTTTGCTATTGTGTGTGATATGTATAAATAGGTAGGGCTGCCTGATGTGCTTGGGCTCTGAAGCCAGGTGACATGAATGCCCCTTCGTTAGTGGTTGTGTGGCATTGGGCAGTCATGATCTCAACAGGCTTCAGTTTTATCATCTGAAGAATGGTAGTTCCAGTCTTTTACAATTAAAGTTAGTGTGAGGATTAAGTGAGCTAACATCTTTAAAGCACTTAACACATAGGAATTATTTAAGAAAAATGGTAGCTGTTGTTATTAGAAGAGAATTGCAACAATTATGTCCGAGACAATTATTAATCGCCTACTGCGACGATCTTGAACTGGGAACTCTAGAAAAGGCACATCACTAGGAGAGAATGGGAAGGGATTTAATGTGTTAATTTTTGAGTTCCCCATTGTGCCAGGGACTTTCTGCACAATATTTCATTTCAATAACCCTATGAAAAAGTCACTACACTGAGGCTAAGAGAGAGCAATTAATTTTCCTCACTTAATATAGTAAATGATAAAGCCTGAATTAAAGTTGGTTCTGTTGGTTCTGAATTTTTCAGAAGTTTTTTCTACTGCCTGGAAAAGCATGAAATTTGTTTCATGCTTTTTTTTTTATAATATATTTTATTGATTTTTTACAGAGAGGAAGGGAGAGGGATAGAGAGTTAGAAATATCGATGAGAGAGAAACATCGACCAGCTGCCTCCTGCACACCCCCCACTGGGGATGTGCCCGCAACCAAGGTACATGCCCTTAACTGGAATCGAACCTGGGACCTTCCAGTCCGCAGGCCGACGCTCCATCCACTGAGCCAAACCAGTCAGGGCTGTTTCATGTTTTTATTTGCTTTACTTTGCGATATCAATGCAGTGTTGTATCAGTCATCTTCCTCTGAAATCATTTTCATTTTGCTGGTAGGAGTTTAGTCCTAGATCTAATGAAATATAATTTGAATCCAAAGAATCGCAAGACACAGTGCTAGCTCTCCTGTTAAATTTTCAAGTTGGATGGGACCTCAGAGATAAGGCAATCCAATCACCTAATTTATGGCTGAGGAGGCTGAGGTGTGGTGTCTGTCGGGTGACTTGCCCAAGGTGAAATCGCTCATGGGTGGAAGCTGATTGCAGGTCCCCAAATTGGCAGCCCAATGCTATTTCCATTATACTCTAGGAAACTTTCCTAACATCTGGAGGACTGTGTGTAAGACTGAGGATATATTTGCAAACGTTGATTTTTTTTTTTTTTAATATGTAAGGAAATAAGGCTAACTAAGGAGTTTTAAAATGCTTACCTGCATTTTTGTGCAAGTTTCTTATTTCAGTTCAAGGGGGAGTTGCTCTTTATGGACTAATGGCTCTGTATCAGGGGTGGGAACCTTTCTAACATTAAATTCTGTGGCTGTGTTTCTCAAAGTTCGAGAAGTACTTATTAAAAATATAGATTTGTGGCCACCCCTTCAAGGCATGGGTAAGGTCTAGGCATCTAAACGTTATTTTACGCACTCACCACAAGTGATTCTTAGAAACCTTAAAATGAGAACAGTTGTCCATTAGTATCTAAAGAATTGTTCTTTTTTTTAAACATGTGCAAAATTTATTC